ATTTTTGGCGAGCTAGATAACAAAAAGCTAATATAGCTTCTTGATTTGCATCATTCTCCCCTGGTTGAAAAGGACTCATCCTCGAGTCTAAAGGCTCTAAATGGCGCAAGGTCAACAACATTAAATATTGGTGAAACCCATAATCGTCCGGTAGATCCAATCTGTAAGCATTATCACCTAACTTTTGAACAACTCGAAATAGACCATCGGCTCTTGGTTGCAACTTTGGATACTTTTGGTTAGAAAATCTTTCTTTCCTCAGGTATACCCAAACTAAGTCTCCCGCATTAAAGAACTGTTGTTTTCTCTTCTTATCAACTTGTTTCTTATATGCCTTTGTTTGTCTCTCAATCTCTTGCACTACTTTCCCATGCAACTTTTTTAATTGCTTAACCCTCTCATCAGCATCTCCACTAAAATAATGGGTTTTAAGAAGAGGAGACAAGTCTAATAGACCAAGAGGATTCTTACCATAAACCACTTCAAAGGGACTTTTTCCAGTTGTTCGATTCACGAACTTGTTGAAAGCAAACTCAGTATGTGGTAGCAAGGATTCCCACTCTCTTATGTTCTTCTTGATCAAACTTCTTAGCAATGCACCTAAACTTCGATTGTATACCTCTATTCATCTGTTTGAGGGTGATAAGATGAGCTATACTTCAACTCCGTACCAAGCTTAGCCCATAAAGTACGCCAAAAATGACTGAGAAACTTAGTGTCGCGATCAGAAACAATGCTTCTTGGAATGCCGTGTAACTTGACAATATTCTTAAAGAACAAAATAGCCATATGAGTTGCATCACTTGTTACATGGGATAAAGTGTGCCATCTTAGAGAATCTGTCAACAACAACGAAGATAGCGTCCTTACCTCCTTGAGTCCTTGGCAATCCAAGCACAAAGTCCATGCTAATATGTTCCCACGGTGTTGTAGGAATTCGCAAAGGCTCATATAATCCCTTATTGCTCCCATGCATTTTTGCTTTTCTACATGTTTCACAACGCCCAATCAGCCTCAACACATCTTTCTTTAATTAAGGCCAGTAGAAGTTTTCTTGAATCATCTTCAATGTTTTAGAATGGCCAAAATGACCAGCTAATCCACCCACATGTGCTTCCCTCACAATGGACTCCCTTAAAGAGATTTGTGGTATGCAAAGCTGCTTTCCAAAGTAAAGAAACCCATCTCGAATTACAAACATTCTTTGTGGACCCTCAAAGCATCTCTTCCAAACATCTTCAAAGTCTGGATCAGCTTCATAAAGCTCCTTGATATGGTCGAATCCAAATACATTAGTTTGCATCATAGAAAGCAAGCATGGTTGATAGGTTACAAGTACCTTGGGCACAAGTACTTTACGTTATGTTTTGATGATCTAACAAACTTACCATTCAGAATCAGATAAGGAACCTGCTACACATCTACAAGACCTTGATATCACAAAGTTCTAGGTTGGGATCCAGCCCTTGGGAAAGCAAGGTGAATGCTATTACTGAATCAAAGGACCTGTAGAAGCTGACATAGAAGAGCTGATTGGAAATCTGAAGACCTACGAGATGAAGAGGAAGATAGACAGTAAAAGAAGAGAACCAAAGAAAGAAAAGAATCTGGTACTCAAAGCTGATAGCAATGACTCAAGTGAGGAAGAGTAGAAGGAACAGCTGAGGGAACAGGACCCTACCAGTTCCCGAGGAGACTGTATGAAGTTAACTCTCCAGCAGGAAAGTTGCTGCCTGCACACACTACTGCATAGGAACATCGCAGCAGTCAACTTTCTGTGGAAGGCTCTTTACCTACCTTGCTTAAATCATCGTAAGTGATGTCACACATGCATAAACACAATCAAGGAAGGTAAAAACACCTTACTTCATAAGAGAACTAGATGAAGGACCTGAAGCATGCCTGGTACAATCATTCAAGTTAATCGACTCAAGATAATCTGGGCAATGTGTCTTTAATTCACAGGAACCAGATTAGGGACCTGATACCTTGGTGTTCCCCTGACAGAAGAATAAGTCAACGGTACAGCTGGAAAGCAACTACAGAAAGTGACTGCCTGCAACTGTACACGCAACAGTTCTGCAGACAGTGCAACAGTC